TGTATTGAACAGTATTGTTGCTGTATTGTCTCCCGTTATATTGTAAAGCGCTGAGCAAACTGTTGGCGCTATATAAATCCTGTATAATAATAATAATAGGAAATCTATGGACGTGGACACAGGCAGACAAAATCTAGAAAAAAAGATTTGGGCTTTTCAAGTAAGCCACATTTCCTCATATGACCAGTAGATGGCAGACTTGTAACATTGGTTCCTTTGCCCCTGACATTCACTTGTATCATTTGAATATGTCAAAGCTTATTTGCAGACAGCAGATCATAGAATAATAACAAAACAAACTGCATTATTGTATGTAAAACAGGCTACAAAATACATTTGGGAAAACCGCTATGCCATGTCTTACAATCAGTGATGTTGCAGCTGCAAAACAGTCTGAAAGTCACTTTGAAAGCAGTTAAAGAGGAACAGCACCGCATCTGAGCGCCACAAACCACAACTGCCATTTAATTCATTGTTATTATTCAAAGAAAACTCCCCCATGCATCCATGTCTCCATGCTTTATTTTGCTGAGAAATCACTTTGAAAACACCCCCCCTGGCTGTGGCCATCTTGAGCAAGGCTAGGTTCACACCTATGTAGTTTGCGTTTGAGCCGTTTCCGCATTGCGTTGCGCTTTTGCACTTGTGTTTTTGCCACATTTTGTGGTTTTTTTTTCTTGTTGCTAGGCAGATTTAAAACGCAAAACACAGTAAAAACGCTGCTTCCATTGAAGTCTATAAAACCAAAAACGTAACTTTTGCCATGTTTTTGATGCAGTTTTTTTTGTTCATTTTTTACATTTTTCTTGTTCTGAGACAGATTTAAAACGCAAAGCGCATCAAGGAGGCAGCAGCCAAAACGCACTACATGCTTTTCTGCAGCATTCCCATTGAAGTCTATAGAACCAAAAAGTGCAAACACGCAAAGCAAAACACAATGCAGAAATGGATCAAACGCAAACTGCATAGGTGTGAACCCAGCCTGAGGAAGAACGGGGGCCCTAGGTGAGGCTGTAGAGTTGACCCCTGAGCCCTTCAATGGACACTGATAAGGACTGCAACATGCACAGAGAAGCTGACTTATTTGCCTTGTCTGTACTAGTACTGTACTTGCGTTCAAAAAAGTCCCTGAGCCTGGGTTCACACTGATGCGGATTCACACTAGTTTCTGTGTGATTTATGCACCGCATCATAATCGCAGGCAGGGGGCGGACTGACAACTCATGGGGCCCCCGGGCAATAGGGGATCACGGGGCCCCTGTGTCCTTGCCCAAACTCAAAAAAGCCTATGAAAAAGGTACCAGGGGCATCTCATGGGGCCCCTACTGACTCGGGCAGTGCCCGAGTTTCCAAATGGGCAGTCCGCCTCTGATTGCACCCCATTCATACGACACACCCCGAAATCAGTTCGCCAAACGCAATGCAATGTGCAGAATCAGATCACATGGATGTGAACACCCATGCGATCCAATTCTGGTGGGAAACAAAAGGGTCCTGCACTTTTTTTGGTGCAGATGCGGTGCGATTTGAGCCATACAAAATGTATGGCTCAAATTGCACCGCACATAATTCGCATGTGATTTGCACAGGAATGCGGTGCGGTTCCTGGGCGAATATGCCGCGCCGCATCAGTGGGAAACCAGGCTCACCCTTTCCAAAAAACGCACCGGGTGAAAACGCTGAGATGTGAACATATCCCATAGGAAATCATGTTAAAAGGACTGTAGTGAGTTTCTGCAAAACGCTGCGGAAAACACTTAATGTAGGTGTGAACCTAGGGTAAGGGCAAATGATTCATGTAGCATATACTTCCTGGAATCCATCTACCCTTAGCTCAGGAATGCAGACAGGTGAGTGTGCTTAGCTGAAAACAATCCTGCTCCCATAAAGACTCCTGGGATGTATGATATTATTTGCCTAGGCCTAGAAACAAGGAAGTAAGTAAAGAAAAAAAACCAAAGTAAATCTAGTATACCTTCCTAGCTAATTACTGATGCTAGCAGACAGGGGCGGACTGACAACTCATGGGGCCCCCGGGCAATAGGGGATCATGGGGCCCCTGTGCCCTTGCCCAAACTCAAAAAAGCTTATGAAAAAGGTACCAGGGGCATCTCATGGGGCCCCCTACTGACCCCGGGCAGTCCGCCCCTGCTAGCAGCATAAGTCCTCATGCACACTGGATGTTTTTTACAGCGGCTGTTTTTGGCTTTTGATGTTTTTTTCTACAGTCAGTAAACTCCCCAGCATGTTATCCTATGTGTCCATACACACATAGACTGGAATCAACGTTTTTTGGCTGGAAAAAAACCCAGGATTAGTGGGATTCTTGAGGAGTTTATTTTAGCTGTAAAAATGCTCTAACGCTGAAAAAAAACGCTGCAAAACACAGTAAAATACCGCAAACCAACGTTTTTGGACTTTTTTTTTACCAAAAAAAAACCCGCTAAAAACGCAAACGAGGGAAAAGGACACTAAACGCTAATATGCAAAAACACGAAAAAAAGCTGAAAAACTCAATGAACGTTTTTTGGCTGAAAAAATTCCCAGGACTAGTGGGTTTCTAGAGGAGTTTTTTTGGCTGTAAAAATGCTCTAACGCTGAAAAATGCTGCAAAACACCGCAAACCGGTGTTTTTGGACTTTTTTTCGACCAAAAAAAACCGCTAAAAAACTCAAACGAGGGAAAAGGACGCTAAACGCTAATGCAAAAACACAAAAAAAAAGCTGAAAAACTCAATGAACGTTTTTTGGCTGAAAAAAAAACCAGGACTAGTGGGTTTCTAGAGGAGTTTTTTAGCTGTAAAAACACTCTAACGCGGAAAAACGCAGCAAAATGCCGCAAACCGGTGTTTTTGGACTTTTTTTTCGACCAATGCTAAACACAGCTAAACGCTAATGCAAAAACATTAAAAAAAGCTGAAAAAGCTAAGGTTACCAGCGTTATCAAAACGTCCCATGTGCATGAGGGGTTAGGATTAGGAATAGTTGGTGAGAGAGTGAAGTTACTTTAACTGACAATTGCGCAGTCATGCAATGCTGTACCCAAATTACATTTATGTCCTTTTTTCCCACAATTTGAGCTTTCTTTTGGTGGTATGTGATCATCTGTGCGTTATTTTTTGCGCTATAAAAAAAAAGACCAACAATTTTGAGAAATAAAACTATATTTTTGACTTTTTGCTATTAAACATGTCCAATAAAAAAAAATTTTAAAAATCTAATTTCGTCATAAATTTAGGCCAAAATGTATTCTGCTCCATGTTTTAGCAAAAAAAATCCCAATACATGTAAATTAATTGGTTTATGTGCAAGTTATAGCATTTACAAATGGCGGTATATATACTGGAATTTTTTTTTATTTTTACTACTAATGGCGGCGGTCAGTGACTTATAGCGGGAGTACAGTGGGTATTCTGACACTGGGGGGGGGGAACTGACTTGCTACAATACAGTGATCAGTGCTAATAAGTTAGGGACTAAGACTTAGATTGTACACCCCTTGAGGGTTAGGGACTGATGTGAATGTACAATATATGTGTAAAGTGCTGTGTAAATTGATGGTGCTATATAAGTACATGTAATAAATAAATAATAAAAAGCACTGACACTGTACTAATGGCACTGGGCAGGAAGGGGTTAACATGAGGGGCGATCAAAGGGTTAACGGTGTGCTGTTTTGCATACTGGGCTGTGTTTGTGCTTCACTGTAGGCACACAGTGTGCAGGAGCTGAAGGGAGAGAACTGTATTGTTTACAAACAGTTCTCCTCCCTATCAGAGATGCTCGGCAATAACCAGGCGCCGTTGAGTAAGTACTTCTGCTATAGGGCGGACAGGAAGCAGTTACATTATTTTTTACCATACTATTTTTTATTTTTACAATTATATTTTTTTATAATTTTTTTTTTTTTACAATTTTTTTAGGAGTTGGGGGTCTTGAATGAGGTATCAAAGGTCTAAACAGACCTGTGATGTTTCACCTCTGAGACAAAGAAAAGAGATTGAAGACACAGCCCTCAATCTCCATCTCTGCAGCCTCAGCTGTACAGAATGAATGGACAGGAGTAACTCTGTATGGAGCTTGCCGTTCATTCACAAATGAAAGCATAGTTGATTCATTTATGAATGAACGGAGTCAGCAATCAGTACCGATCACCGACTCAATTCAGGAAGAGTCAAAAATTGAAGGGGAAAAAACGCGGGAGGTGTTGCAAATGGACTTTAAAGGCACAGAAATTCCAAACACATATTAGTAAAATCATTTGTACTTTATTATGACAATAGGTCATGGAAAAACATCTTGTAGTTAAAAAGATCATAGTTATACTGTCCCCGCAGACAATGTCCCACAGCCCACCATGTACAAGGAACACCTTACTGATAAGAGACATGATAACCACCAGATGAATCCCATGTGGGAGGGGTGTGAAGGACATTAAAACACAAGAAAAGCACCCAACATGTTTCGCGACAATGATCGCTTCTTCAGGGGCTGAGTAATAAAATCTAAAAGAAATATACATAAATTGGGTATGTCAGATTACAACATGTAAATATATAAAAAAAAAGAAAAAGAATAAAGAAGCATAATCATAAATGAACATAATATGGCTTAAATGTGATATCAATATGCATCATGCAGCAGCAAAACAAGGAAGAGGCCGGGAACTGACACATTTTCTCTTTATCTTGAGAGATTCTTTTTCAGCAGCCAGCAGGAGAGGTGGGCCGGGAACCCTGCAGTGCTCTAAGGGATGATGAGGGGCCCGAGGATTACACAGGAGCCTGATCACAGCAGGAGGTGGATAGGAGGGATGGCGTGTAGAGAAACCAATCCCCTCCAATTTCCTCTTGTAGCTGCTGAAAGGCTGGAAGAAGAAAATGGAAGGCATCGGTTCCTTTATATGCTGCCCATTTATTTTCACCTGGTGATTTGGCCAGTAACACTCTGGGGTTGATTTACCCCAGGTTCACACATAAGCATTTTCTGCAGTGTTTTGCATTTTGCAGAAATGTAGTACAGTCCATTTAACCACTAGCCGTCCCGCCCGCTGTATATAAACGGCAGGACGGTGGCACTCCAGGGGCGGGTTGCCATTCATAAACGGCACCCGCCATTATGGACTGTGCGCGCTCCCTGGGAGCGACAGCACCACGATCTGGAGGACACAGTGGAACACCGATCGTCATACGGGACCTCTGTGTGAGGTCCCGATCATAAACGTTCATAAACGGCAACCCACATTTTCTAGATGTACGCACTCCCTGGGAGCGCGCAGCACCGCGATCCGGTGCCTCCTGTGCCCTCCGGATACAGTGGAACACCGATCGTCGGACAGGACCTCTGTCCGAGGTCCCGATCATGTGATCACTCATTGGCCAATCAGTGATCACATGAAGAGTAGTAAGCAAGATATCACTTCTGACATCATTGCTTACTACGTATGAAATCTGTGAATGATCACAGAGGTCACATGGTACAGGGCTATTAACAACAGCCTTGTACCATGTGACAAGCTGTGACCAATCACAGCTCACACAGTAGTTCTCAATGGCTGCAAGAATGCAGCCAGAGAGAAAGAGAAAAGATTGCTTTTATAGCCTTTATGGGTGTAAAAGCAATCAGTGTAAAAAAAAAAAAATCTTCATCACCCCCCACAAGTAGTACAGTGTCACCATGGTGACACTGTACTGCTAGGGTGACAGTATGCAGAAAAAAAAAATCAAAAATATTAAAAAATAAATAAATTTTGGTTATAAACTAATTTGGGTGTTTTTTTTTTTTTTTTTACTAAAAAGATAACTGAATAAATTTTGGCCAAGATTTATGATGAAATATTATTTATTTGCAAAATTTTATAAGAAAAACACTTTTTTTTTTTAAAATTTTTGGACAATTTCATTTATATAGCAGAAAAAATATAAGAATCCAGTGGTTAATAAATACCACCAAAATAAAGCTTTATCTGTCTCAAAAAAAATGCTTAAAAATTCATATGGGTTCATATTGGTTTCTATGCAGCTCTGCATAGAAACCAATTGGGTTCCGGGGTTTTGTGAAAGCTTAATTGAACAAGCTAAAGTTAGAAGCTGATTGGCTCCCATGTACAACTGCAGCAGATTCTGAGTGCTCAATTTTTAGTAAATCCATGCCTTAGTTCCCAGTCACACCAGTGTGATTTCAGGTGCGATTTCAAATCGCACCTGAAATCGAATCTACTGAATGTGAATGTCAGTGTGTTAACGTGTGCGATTTGCTGCAGTGTGATTTCTAAAGTAGTTCTTGCATGACTTTTTCTGCAGTTTTATTGCAATTTCACATACATAGAATATAATGGAAATCGCACTGCAAATTGCAAGAAATCATTGAAAATCTTCACAGGTAGAAATAAAGTCTTCACAAATTGCACCTGAAATCGCACTGAAATTGCACACAAATTGCGCAATTTTAAATTGCAGTGGTGTGACCAGTGACTTAAGCTCTAAGGCTTGGTTCACAATGGATGATGCGATTTAAAATGAGCGTTTTGTTTACGATTTCACCGCATTTTCTGAAGATTTCCCGTCGATTTCTTGCATTTTCCATTGCGTTTTGCAGTGTGATTCCTATTTTAGCCTATATCCGAAATTGCAACAAACTGCAGAAAAAGTAATACAAGAACTACTTATGAAATTGTGCTGCAGCAAATCGCGTATGTTAAGACACAAGAAGGCCCGGTTAGGCATGTCAAGGTGTTGTCAGACATATTGTAGCCGGGTTTTTTGTGGCACTGGTGCAGTAATAGCTTCTTTCTGGCACCTCCACCAAACAGCTCATTTTTGTTCAAGTATCACCATATTGTACTCCTTCAAAACAACCACGCCATCTTTTTCCAGAGCAGCCTGGTTTTCTGTTGAGGTTGTCTGTGGGATTTTCTTTGTATCCCGAACAATTCTTCTGTCAGTTGTGGCTGCAATCTTTCTTGGTCTACCTGACCTTGGCTTGGTATCAAGAGATCCCTGAACTTTCCACTTCTTAACCACTTGCCATCCGCCTGCTGTTTATAAATGTCAGGATGGTGGCACTCCAGGGGCAGTTTGCCATTCATAAACGGCACCTGCCATTTCTAGCTGTGCACGCTACCTGGGAGCACGCAGCACACAGTCCTCCGGACACAGTAGAACACCGATCGTCAAACAGGACCTCTGTACGAGGTCCCAATCATGTGATCACTCGTTGGCCAATCAGTGATCACATGAAGAGTAGTAAGCAAGATGTCACTTGTGACATCATTGCTTACTACGTGTGAAATCTGTGAATGATCACAGAGGTCACATGGTATAAGGCAATTCACAATGCCTTGTACCATGTGACAAGCTGTGACCAATCACAGCTCACTCAGTAGTTCTCAATGGCTGCAAGAATGCAGCCAGAGAGGAGAAATGATTGCTTTTACAGCCTTTATGATTGTAAAAACAATCAGTGTAAAAAAAAAAAAAAAAAAATCTTCATTACCCACCACAAGTAGTACAGTGTCACCATGGTGACACTGTACTGCTAGGGTGACAGTATGTAAAAAAACCCCAAAAACAAAAATAAGATAAAAAAAACACATTTAAAAAAATGTTTAAAAATTATAATTTTTGGTTATAAACTAATTTGGGTTACCGTATTTTTCGCTCCATAAGACGCACCTGACCATAAGACGCACCTAGGTTTTAGAGGCAGAAAACAGGAAAAAAAAAATTCTGAACTAATGGACTGCAGACATAGTACAGGGGATGACCAGAGACTGCGGACACAGTACAGGAGATGACCAGAGACTGCGGACACAGTACAGATGACCAGAGACTGCGGACACAGTACAGGAGATGACCAGAGACTGCGGACACAGTACAGGAGATGACCAGAGACTGCGGACACAGTACAGGGGATGACCAGAGACTGCGGACACAGTACAGGAGGTGACCAGAGACTGCGGACACAGTACAGGAGATGACCAGAGACTGCGGACACAGTACAGGGATGACCAGAGACTGCGGACACAGTACAGGGATGACCAGAGACTGCGGACACAGTACAGGGATGACCAGAGACTGCGGACACAGTACAGGGATGACCAGAGACTGCAGACACAGTACAGGGATGACCAGACACTGCGGACACAGTACAGGAGATGACCAGAGACTGCGGACACAGTACAGGGATGACCAGAGACTGCAGACAGCACAGGGATGACCAGAGACTGCGGACACAGTACAGGGATGACCAGAGACTGCGGACAGCACAGAGATGACCAGAGACTGCGGACAGCACAGGGATGACCAGAGACTGCGGACAGCACAGAGATGACCAGAGACTGCGGACAGCACAGGGATGACCAGAGACTGCGGACAGTACAGGGATGACCAGAGACTGCGGACACAGTACAGGAGATGACCAGAGACTGCGGACAGCACAGGGATGACCAGAGACTGCGGACACAGTACAGGGATGACCAGAGACTGCGGACACAGAACAGGGATGACCAGAGACTGCGGACAGCACAGGGATGACCAGAGACTGCGGACAGCACAGGGATGACCAGAGACTGTGGATAGTACAGGGGATGACTGCTGACCTTTGGGGAGGGGGGGGAGCGGGTGCCTGAATTTGACAGATACCCGCTCCCACTTCCGCGGAGTTGTTCTTTCATCTTACCTGTTCCTCGATCCAGCCGCGCGCTGTCTTCCCGGCTTCTGTAATGGCGCTCGGCATGACAGCCGGGTGCCCAGTGCGCATGAGCGAGAAGCACTTGCGCTTTGTGATTGGTCCGGCGGCTTCTGGGATCTGTCATGTGCCCCAGGTACCGCCTTACCATTCACAAAAAGCACCCCTTCTTGCGCATGCGCACTTGACACCCGGCTGTCATGCCCGCACTACAGAAGCCGGGAAGACCGCGCCGCTGGATAGAGGAACGGGTAAGATGAAAGAACAACTCCACGGAAGTGGGAGCGGGTACCTGTCAAATTCAGGTACCCGCTCCCCCTCCCTCCCCAAAGGTCAGCAGTCATCTCTAAGGTCCCGCTGTAGAGCTGAGCGGCCGGCCCGGTATTCTGACAAGGCGGCAGTGGAAATACCGGACCGGCCGCTCCATATTCGCTCCATAAGACGTACTGACATTTTCCCCCCTTTTTTTGGGGGAAAAAAGTGTGTCTTATGGAGCGAAAAATATGGTATTTGTTTTTTTACTAAAAAGATAACAGAATAAATTTTGGCCAAGATTTATGATGAAATACTATTTATTTGCTAACTTTTATAAGAAAAACACTTTTTTCTAATTTTTTGCACTTTTTCATTTACATAGCAAAAAAAAATAAAAATCCCAGTGGTGAATAAATACCACCAAAATAAAGCTTTATCTGTCTCAAACAAATGCTAAACTAAAAAATTCATATGGGTACAGTGTTGCATGACTGCGCAATTGTCATTCAAAGTGTGATAGCACTGAAAGCTGAAAATTGGCCTGGACAGGAAGGGGGGGTGAAAGTGTCCGGACTTGAAGTGGTTAATAGATGATTTAACAGTACTGATTGGCATATTCAAGGCTTTGGACATATTTTTATGTCCTTTTCCATATTTATAAAGTTCCATTGCCTGGTTACGCAGGACTTTTGACAGTTCTTTTCTGGGCTCAGTATCTAGCCTAGTCAGTGCTTCCACGTAAGAGCTAACAAACTCATTGACTATTTATACACTGACACTAATTGCAATTTAAAAAGCCACAGATGTGGGACATTAACTTCTAATTGGCATTTTAACCCGAGTGTGTCACCTTGTGTGTCTGTACCAAGGCCAAACATTCCAGGGGAGGGAACCTTTTGATCCGGGCCATTTGGGTGATTTCTGTTATCATTATGATTTAAAAGAAGCCAAATAACTATTTAATAATAAATGGCTTCATATGATAATCATCCTTCAATAAAAGAGCATTTTTTGGCATGATCAGTCATATGTTCAATATCAATGCCAAAATGTCACAATTTCTGCCAGGGTATGCAAACTTTTGAGCACAACTGTATATTGTACATTACATCAGTCCCTAACCCTTTTGCGGCAGCACAGTGGCTAAATGGTTAGCACTTCCACCTGGCAGTATTAGGGTTGTTGGTTTCAAATCCCAACCACGGCACCACTTGCCTGGAGTTTGCATGTTCTCCTTGTGCTTGCGTGGATTTCCTTCGGGTACTCCAGTTTCCTTCCACACTCCAAAGACATGCTGGTAGGTTAATTGGCTCCTGTCTAAATTGGCCCTAGTATGTGTATGTATGAATGTAAGTTAGGGACCTTAGAATGTACACCCCTTGAGGGTTAGGGACTGATGTGAATGTACAATATATATGTAAAGCGCTGTGTAAATTGACAGAGCTATATAAGTAACTAAAATAAATTACACAGGTTCTGAGGCTAATTTAATGGAGATAAAGCACCAAGTGAGTTTTTAACGACCACCCTAATCAGCCACAGAACCTGTGTAATGAATATGTGTTTGGGTTTAAAGGGATGAGGTGGCAACCCCAAGCTCCACCCACCATCAGCATGACTGGCCACCAGGAGGCTGTCAGCTGCAAAGCCACAAACCAGTGACAGTTGGGAAGGGGGTAGTGGTGGCAAATATGTCTCCTGCTACACAGCATATGGAGAAAGGCATGAACATACTATGAATAAGGCTTTGTGAATCCAAAACGAGTCAGCTCTATGGATCCTGAATTTATGTAACCAATAAAGATTTCCATTAAGTAACTTTCCGAGTTGCTGGCTACTTGTATTGTGGATATTTGCTGTGAGGAGAGGACAACTCATCCAGTGCACCAGTCTCCTGTCTCTGTGTGGTGAAAAGAGCAGTTGAGCTTGGATAAAATTTGTTTTCATACGGAGACAGGCACTGTGCCCGTCTCTGTACACCAACGTAGAGTTGGTTCTTATTACCTCCAGTTTTATTATCTAGAGTAGAAATAATTATTTTTGAATCTGATGCAGTAATAGTGCTAATTTGTAAATGCGGAGCTATTAGAAACAACTACTAAAAGGGGTGGTGGGTAATTTTTAATCAGGCACAGACTACCTTAAAGGGCCATACCGCCAGGTATCCACCAGGTATCGCTAAGACTTTACTAAATTTGCCCAATGTTTAAAATAAATTGTTTCCATATGGAAGAAAAATATATTTGAAATATATTTTAAAAATATTCTTCCCAAATCTACTGACATATATTTGAAATACTACAATTTTGGCCGTATCCAATATATTTTAATAAATGTATTTACTGTATGTTGAAATGCGTTTTTATTACAAAATATATGAAAAATATTTTTAAAAATACATTTCAAATATACTGTAAGTCTTTAAAAATACAAATCTACATTTTTGGAAAGCATTTACAAATATATGTAAAAATCTATGTTAAAATGACTTTTTTTATATGTTAAAAAAAAATCTGAACAATATATTTAAAAAAATATATCTGTAAAAATATTTTTCATATATTTTGTAATGTATAAAAAATGCATTTCAAGATGCAGTATATATATATATATATATATATATATATTTATTGAAATAGATTTTGAAATATATTAAATACGGCCAAAATTGTAGTATTTCAAATATCTGTCAATATATTTGGGAAGAATATTTTTAAAATATATTTCAAATATATTTTTCTTCCATGTGTAAATTTCCATCACTCTAAACCCTCAACGTGTTTTTCCTTCCTCATCCTCCATATTTCAACACACCGACAGCATACCAGATGACAGGTGCACTTTACATACATGTGAATGAAATTTATGACGCCCTGGATGATACGATTTGCAGAGTCTGCAGTTATTTGACATCCGTAGACTCACTTATCTCCTTCATTACTTCCCAAGGTTAGGTGGGAATTACACCATACATAAACAAAGATAAAATAGAATTCTGCATCCCGTTTCCATGGTTACGCCCTACTTATAGCGCATTAAACTGATTCATGTCTATTCTCATCCCTCCGTTAATAAAATTATTGCGGCTGATGGGGATTAAGCCAGCTGGAACGGAAGCATAGTATAGATAATTAATTAGTCACGTCATTCTCAAAAAACCTCTTGATTTTTACATCACCATTGACATGAGGTTGCAAAATTGTTGGAGATATTTGCGCTTATCAATAACCTGGAAATGCTTTATGCCGCGTTTGTTATTTTTCATTGATGACGCACGACGGGTGACTTGTGTAAATGATTTCTTACTAGAATGCGATTTCCTTTTGTGAAACTTTCCTATCACAAGTTCTCTTTTGAACTTATTTCTGCCAGCATAATGTATATTTGCGGCAGCATGGCGGAAGGGCTTTATCGCGTAAATGCGTCCATGGTCCCGTTGCCGTAAACTGAGCCTATTCTACCACTTGTATACCTGAAGGTTTAGAAACATACCTTGGTAGACAGGGGGTTAAAATGCATGCCCAGCCAAAACATGGATAAAGTGGGGGAAGGGTTAGAGCCCCGGTCTGGTTTTTAATGCTAACTGGGGCCGTGTAGGAGAGATTTCCTTTCACTTTCTATCTTGCTGATACTATTTTTCCAGACAGGGTAAAGTGAAAGTAGAAGAAAAATATATTTGAAATACTACAATTTTGGCCATATTCAATATACGGCCAAAAAAAAACGCATTTCAATGTGTGTGTGTATATATATATATATATGTTGAAATGCGTTTTTTTTTTATATATTACAAAGTATATGAAAAATATTTTTAACAATATATATTTTTTAAATACATTCTTCAGATTTTTTTTTAACTTATAAAAAGGTAATTTTAACATATATTTTTTACATATATTTGTAAATGCATTCCAAAAATGTAGATTTGTATTTTTAAAGACATACAGTATATTTGAAAATGTATTTTTAAAAATATTTTTCATATATTTTGTAATAAAAACGCATTGCAACATACAGTATATATATATATATATATATATATATATATATATTTATTTATTGAAATATATTGCGTACGGCCAACATTGTAGTATTTCAAATATGTGTCAATATATTTGGGAAGAATATTTTTGAAATACATTTCAATTACATTTTTCTTCCATGTGGGTAGGTTCACACCTAAATGTTTTCTGCAGTGTTTTGCAGTCCATTTATCATGATTTCCTATGGGACAGGTTTCACATCTCTGCGTTTTCACCCAGTGCATTTTTTGGAAAGGGTCAGTGACTTTTTTGAACGTTTTTGGCTCTATAGACTTCAATGGGAATGCTGCAGAAAAGCATTTAGTTCGTTTTTGCTGCGTTTTTGATGCGTTTTGCATTTAAAATCTGGCTAGCAACATGAAAAATTTTAAGAAAATTAAAAAAAGCAAAACACGGCAAAAATGCAAAGTGCAACTCAAAATGCAATGCAGAAAACGCAACCTGCACAGGTGTGAACCTAGACTTATGCACTGTAATGCAGGCCATATATGCCCTAGGCAACACAAAAGTCGTCTGCCCCCCCCACCCCTCGGACACCAACCAACATCAACCCCCCCCCCCCCCCTGCCCCCTCTCGTAGAGAAAGCCTGACATTGACCAAGAACA